AATACATGGGGCAAAATCCTGAAGTTAGTGAAATGGCTTCTCAAAAATTGAAGCAAATGAAAATCCTCGATGCCCAGTGCTGGCGCAAATTTAGGTAAGCGCAAGGATGTCTAACGTCAGAAAAAAATTACAAAACCTAAATCATTCGCTGGATTTTCACTCAGCTCAGACTTCCTTCACACTTTGTGGTGTGGCCGCGGCGAGCGCGCGCGGATAAATTTGAAAACGCTCCACTCAACGTGCCCGCGAACTGCGCTGACGCAGCATTTGCAAATTTACCCGCGCAGCGGAAGCTCTACCGGCTCGGCCGTGCCCACACCCCAATTTGTGAAGCAATCTCGGAGCCTTTTTACTCGGAGCTCGGCAGCCACCGGTGGCTGACATTGTCGCGAATGGGAAGTATGTTCAAATGCAGAAATCGTCAAGTATTCCCCAGATTACCAAATCATGAGCTGCCTTCACTCATCAAACTCTTGAAATCACAGCTACTGGAAACGACATCAAATGAAATCAAAAGAACATGAAGTCTAAGACTGGGGAGGGGGTACTAAGCCTAAGCATAGGAAGGACTGGGTACGCAGTGAATAGTGTACTCTGTGCATTCGCACAATCCAGCTTGGCATTTTGACTACTTCTACTAAGCTCAAGCTTCACGCCACTGCGCTTGAGACGGTGCCCCTCTCTCCTCCCCTAGGTACCGAGTTTTGATCTCTCAATTTAATGGATAGTTTTTATGACATAACTGTAACAATAATAATAATACTTTCAAATTGATGCAGGCCTACACGACAAACTACGGCGCAAGAAGAACAAATAACACGAAAATAAGACAGTAGGAAGTAGAGCCACTGAAAAGTTCGTTGGAAATCTAAATAACCATGAACTAGACTTAATAAAACTATAATAAACATGATGGTAAGTGATACTGCAGACATCAAAAAATGCGACCGCAGTTGCTTGCCCATCAAGCACATCGTTTCGGGAGTTGATTCGTTCGAACTGCAAAGTGAGGTACTGTAGCTGCCTCACAGCAATTTTCGCGCTGTATACCTTTCGATACAGCGGTTCACATTCTCTCAGTGGATATACGAGTGCGCATCCATAATAATTTTTTTTTATCACTTTTTCAGAACATATTCAAGTCTGGGTTCAGATCTATTGCCTATTTTCCTACTGAATTGAGCCCATTAGGAAAACTTAGGTGGAGAAAAGAGGTGCATAGGTGTTGTACTTTATGATGTTTCAATTTATACTTACCAGTAGGTAATCATAAAATTTGCAATATATATTTTTGCGCAATTCGGTACAAAATTCTTCGGGAGTTCCGTTTGGGAAGTCTGATACAAGTGGTTTTGAATTCTTATACTCTCTTTGTGGCGGGAAATGCAAATTATCGTAGTATTCTGGGAATTCCAAATGGCTAGTTGGTGCTCTTGTAATCAAGAGGAAGACTAACTTAGGTCATAGTTTTAGTCACCACAGTAAGTACGCGTTTTTGGAGGTGAAGTGAGCGCCGGCCCGCGTCGTTTGGCGCCAGAAGGGAACTGGGTATTTATTTTTTCTAGGTTTTCGTAATAAAAGGAAAAGCTTGTCATGGTTCGCTGAGCCTTGGGATTTCGACAATGAAATAAAAGGGCATATATGTGCTCATAAAACAGCAATTTCAAAAGCACGAACTTGCATCTTGTTGTTTGCCGAAATGCGGAATGTAATTGTTCGCGAGGAGTCTGATAATACCTCTTGCTTGTGAGCTCGGACCTCTACCAAATGCGCTGTAGTACCACAGCTCACCTGCCTCTTACTCTACGTATAAAGGTGTTTTGTGTGATAGGTTGTAGGGTAGTACTGGAAAAAACTTCATAGTTCCGTCAGAAGATATCTCAGGAATGAGTTGGTGACTGTAGACTCAAATGGACAGAAAGCGACTTTCTCGTGTTTCGCAGCGCGAAACACTTTTCGCTGCGGAACTCAGGTCCACTCGATGATCAGTCAGTGGACCCGAGGTTCCCCACAGCGAAAGATGTTCGCCGCTGTGCGAAAATGCGAAGAAATTCGCTTTCTGTCAGGTGAGCCACACCCCGATTCGGGAAGCAGCGTTCCAAGACTGTCTGAAAGTACACACCTCATTTAAAATGGCCATTCAACTCAGAATCCATCTCTTGTAAATGCGTGTCTTGTTCTCACGTTTTGTCTTGTTCTTGTTCACGATACTCTCAGGGCCCCATTAAAATCCTCGGACCTCCTTGGCCTTGACATTCGTACGGGTCCAATCGTCCTTGAGCTCAAGAAATCCGGTCACCTTATGGGTTGGCAGCGTCCAATTTTTGAGACCATGTATACGCGTGCAATTTTAGGAAGTAAGCAAACCAGCCCTCTTGGTATTTCTCTGGGAGGGCCGTATTGCTAGATTGTGCGTGAGGGAATTAGGGTTCCCGAGGGTTCGAGTATTACTTGAACTTATTCGTACGGTAGGAGAGGTGATGACGGAAGTGTTAGTCACAGCTAAGGTCCAGCAGGCTCCGCCAAAAGGGCTGGTTTACTTCCCCCAGGACTAACTCTCTTTAAGGCTTAGTCCTGAGGTAAGCATCAAATTGAGGCGGTTTTAAGGACCGAGTTGAAGTAGTCCGTCAACCGTCGGGACTCCATCCCTCCCCAACATTTAGCATACGGCCCCAGCAGAAACGCCAAAAGGGCTGGTTTGCTTACTTCCACTTTTAGGTTCAAAATTACATGCCTGTAGCCCCCCCCCCTCCCGATTCAGCGTTTCCCCACGTGTTGGAATTTAACGTATTCATATGTTGACTGGTAAGCTCATATCGATCAACACTATTGTCACGTTTTCAGATAATCATGAACTTGTTATTATCTTTTCTTTGTATATTCTGCCACTTTCGAGAGTTTTTCCTCACTCAAACGAGTTTTTGGGAGGATAATATTTGACATACATATACTCGATATCCGATAGTTGGGGTAGGTGTGGCACCGGAAGTGACGTGCACTTGATAGAAGTTGCGTGGATAAGCTGTTGCCAGCATACATCGCTGGATATCAGCAAAGCATGCTGGAAACAGCTTATCCACGCAACTTCTATCAAGTGCACGTCACTTCCGGTGCCACACCCACCCCAACTTTCGGATATCGACTGTATGTTCTCTCTTAACTTCGTATAGCATACATTATACGGTAACAAGCACATGATCATTCTAGTTAAAGGCAACTCAATCAACACTTTTGGGTGATGATTGTAAGCAAAGCGGGTCTATTTCAGTTAGGGGGGGGGGGGACATCGTGATGCAGCTTCTCGGCGAGCTAATGTAAACTCGAACATTCCAGCTTCTCACGCATGTCAAGTGAATGCCCTCACCCCCACCCCCCCTAGGCTGGCTACACTCCCCCTATGCCTCGGAGTTTACTTACCAGCTTTCTTGAAAAACTGCATCATGATGCGCCCCTAGCTGGAATAGACTCGAAGAAGCTTTATAGGTTTTTTGACTTTGTGACTTTCTACACTTGAAGGCGCCGCCGCGCCCATGATTTAGGTGTGAAAGTCACTAAGCCGTCTTTCCTTTCAGTTGTGCTTTCTTAGGTAACCATTGATAAGCTAACGATAGGGCAGGAACCGCGGAAAATAGTGATTTGTTTTTTTTTGACGCCTGTTTTTCGATTTGTGACCCTAGAAGTTGCCGAAGTGTAGTGATTCGACAGACTAATAGACAAAACGAAGAACTCTTTACTATCTCATTCGTCTACTTCATATATCCCTTTTCTCTTCTTCATTTCTGGCGCGGTCGGATATGATTGCATAATTCACTGCCGTTTAGTGGTGCAGCGGAGCAGTACAGCCCTCTAGCAGGGTCAACCCTATGTTGCTACAAGTAGCAACGGGGGGTCGTATTTGATGAGTTTGTAGGGGGGTCGTACTTGCTTCGGTTGTAAGAAGTGGCATGTGATGAGTGGGGAGCGTGCGGGAGAAAATTTGCCGTTTCAGCGCGCTTTAGCGCTTTTATTACCCCCCCCCCCCCCCGCCTCCGACGAATTTTGGGGGTAAAATAATGGTATTGAAGAATGTGAGCGGTCGGTAGGGGAAACATTCATAAGTGGAGTCGTAAAACACTTTTGAAAAGTAGACAACGATAGGACCGACCCTGCCTTTACCGTACGGTCTGTCTTTAATGAAAAAATTCTTGAAGTAAACAGTACTTTCCGCTTTCTGTGTAAGGGCTCGCTGTCCTCATTGCTACACGGCCTTCTGATGCCTGCTTCCACATAATGAAAAAATCATGAACCAGAATCGGATGTGTGCCGTAAGACAATGAATTCTACTTTATCTATAGCTGTCATCCTGAGACAAATGAGTATCTTTTTTTAGGTGTCAGGTTTTTTAGCGGCGTGCCCTAAGTCGGTTGACGGACTACTTGAACTCAGCCCTTTACCGCCTCTGCGCTCTAGCGGGTCCCTCTCCTCTCCAAGGCTTAGTCCTAGGGCATTCTCTAATCGTCTGTGCTCTAGCCATCGCGGCAGGACCATTGAGGAAAAATCAAGTAGTCCGTAAACCGAGTCAATTTACTGTCGGTAATAGCTCGTGGTACGGTTGCTGCTCTGGGTAAATTAACTGACAAACCTTCAGAATGTAATGAATGCACGGGTGTCGGTCCTTAGGACAGAAAGGCCTTAGGACAGAAAGCACTTTTTCGCTGCGCGAAGCTCAGCTGCGGGAATCTTAGATCCACATTTGATTAGAGGAGATCTGGCCTTTCCGCAGCGAAAAAGTTTCGCGTTGTAAAAAGCAAAAAGTTACTTTCTGTCCTCGCGACCACACCCAGGTAGTGCACCTTTGGCACTGTTTGCGAAAAATTAGTATACTTACTGATACAAAACATGCTTGATAGTTTCCATTAGTAACAGTTACTCTCTCTTCTTTTGGTCCTGAATATTTGGAATTTCAGGACGCTTTTCTTGTTGCCAGCAAATTTCCACAATCAATTTATGCAGTAGAAAACATGGACCTTGTCTTGGAATATGGCCTGTACAACATCGGCGACAAAGCTGCGTTGAAGGTCAGTGGCTCTCCTAAATTGATTTTATTTTTGCTCCCAGCAGTTTGGAACGTCTCGCCTTTTTAGCGAAATGTGAAATGTGGAAGTATAAAACAAATGCCCCGTATTTCGTGGCACTGTCGACACAAGTGATGTGACGCTCAAACAGTACACACATTGAGCTCTAACTAGCCGACATGTTTTAATGCAAGTCAGTGCTTTGCCACTGCGCTGAAGATGAACTTGAATGCCAAATTAATATGAGGCTGCGTTCATACTCACGTTTTGGAAACAAAAAGGATAGACGATAATGCTAAAGATATGTATTGAGTGGCAGTGTAGGAGATCAAGATGAGGTTATTAGGAAATTTGTCTGAAAATATTAGATGCGTACTGAATGACCTGGCTGGGCATGCCAAAATCTCCGTACTAATCAAATCTGCCGAACCTTCTAGTCTTCTCATCGCCTAATCTCAGAGCGGAATAAGAAGTCACTCTAAGGGACAGTATGCCGCCTTGTCGCGACCTTTTCACTTGAGTGTGCCATTGCGCAACGCATGGACCATTGCTAAACCTCCTGAAGGCTTGGTCCTGGTATCACATGGCACACTCCCTCCCATCTCCGCCTCCAGAAGATCTCCAAAACACATAAATTGGTATCGAGTGGAGGGTGGGGTACATGATCACTGAAATACCCAGTTTCATTCTTCACGCCGCTTTTAGTTTCCTTACTTATCCTTCACAAATGCCCACCCTACTCATGACCGTCCATATATCCCATATACGACCCTCTGCCAAGGAATTCTCTACCATGATTCACCCCGTGCCAGAATCCTAGGGAAGTTAAGCTAATGAAAATTACTGCGTTGTTAAACGTAGTGGTCCCTATATTTGACTCAAAATATGAGATGTGTTTTTGTTTTTGACTACGTAGTGCTCAATGAGTCTTTTGGGATTTTAATCAGTCTGAACCATCACAGGTGATTCTTGACGACCGTCACTCCTTTCCTACGCAGTCGTTCGAGATAGTCAAAGGTCTTCTCAATGTCCGATTTGAGAGAATCAATCCAGGATCAAATACAACTCACTCAGTTGTTGTAAGTTTACAGTGTCGTTATCATTTTTATTCTTTCTTCGGTTTCCTTTGTGCTTGATGTGCTCACGAGGGGTAATACCACATGGCTTAAGAAGTGTTCTTGGACACTGAACTTGGATCTATTTTTCATACCTGTAAAATGAGTTTTTTTGAATGAATTGGTAAAGTTTCCGCCGGAGGAGTACGCATGTTCTCCATGTTAGTGCCTATCGCAAACATAATTTTATGGCTGGGTTCTGGTGTAAGCAGAATTTCAGAAATCATCTGATGTTTGAGACATATAGAATAGCCTAACTTGTCGTCACAATTGGTCAGAAGTATTGCTTTCTGATGAATTTGTTATGGGTTCTAATGTATTTCCATCTTTCGTTGTTCTGCTGGTTGTACTCTGGTGTCTTTTTATACATAGCAATTAGTATTCGGGTGTCATTGCAGCTTCAATTGGTGAAGCAGAAGTGGGAGTTTAGCGCTCTGCAAACCATAAGGCTGGTGTCAGAGTCCGCGATCCGTCGCAGGTTTCGCTGATTTCGCGATTTTCGCGATTTGCGCGATTCACGCGACGGGTCACGGAAATCACAAGTGCCCGATCAATACTGCAAGGTGTTCTCCAATCCTGCCGCCACTTCTGCTTGATAGGCTGAATGACGACTGCTCATGATTCCACTTGTTTCATATTCAGTGTTTCAAATGTTCAAATGGGCACTTGCAATTTTTGCGATCCGTCGCAGGTTTCGCGCAAATCGCGAAAATCGCGCAAATCGCGTGAATCGCGCAAATCGCGAAAATCAGCGAAACCTGCGACGGATCGCGGACTCTGACACCAGCCTAATGCGTTCCACAACGTTTGTGGTCATACTATTATACATAGTTTCCCTTTTGTGCAGCTCTTCCGACTCTTAAAGTTGACGCGTTTTCACTACATTTCGCAGTTTATCGATTCTTGCTTCTAAAGTGGCGCGCGAAAACGTCCGCGACAAGCCAAGCCTGGCCATGGTGAACGTCTTTGTAACCTTAACCAAACAGTTCCTCTGCAAAATTGTATGATAGGTTCGATTTGAGAGTCTGGAAACACGTCGAATGACATATTTCTCCTCTTAATTAGTTACATGGACTTGAGATTATTTCTTCTTCACAGAGTATTGTTTGTGTGTTCAGGTCAGGCCGCGTCAATTCGGAGTCTTCAACTACACCTCAGCTCAAGTAACTTACATCTCGGAAGGCAGCACTGATATACGTGTCGGATACACGAATGCTCCTGGCGAGGGTAAGTTTGATTGACGGTATGATGTTTTCCAATTCCTAATTGCTGTTTTATTTAGGATACATCTATCGTTTGAAAGAATACGAACGCAAATTTGCTCCAAAGTATATTTACTGGATAGTTTTCTTCATTCTCATAGCTCCTACAACTTTGGGATCACTTCTCGCCTACTCTAAGAGTAAAACTAAATATGTGGAGCTTGCCAAGAAAAAGAACTAGATATCTTATATGAGGTTTTGGTTCATTTGATCCAGTTTTTTAGAGGCACAGATTGTTTTATGTTGTAACTGCAATCAATGTTTGCACTCCTTCGTTTAAAAGCGGGTTGCTGACGTTTGAATTTTCTCTGATATCGGACATATTGTTGTGGATAAGTTATTTTATGGAATGAAATGTTGTTTTGTTTTCGAATACTTTTTTCTGTATAATGATGAAGTGGTCAAGGGGTGTCTTACAACAGTTAAAAAAGGAAGTGTTGCATGGTGGGAAATAAAAAATGTAGGATGTCTTCGCGGTGTTCATCAACAAAAACCGCCCTAAGTTTGACTCGAAAAAATTATCAACCTGCGATCCTTGTCATCTTCATCGTCACGCGCGTCGATCGTCATTCTGTACTGGAACGATTCCGTGACCGCCGTACCTGATGCAGAGCGGGAGCTAAAAGCAAGGGTCGTTGACGTTATGGTTCCGATATAGCTCTTATACAGATTCAGATTTCCAGAAAACAAATTTATATCGCAATAACACACGCAAGATCTTTTTAAACCGAAACAAGCCTCTAACCATCATAATCATACGATCGATAGATTCCTCTTGAACTAGGATACTATCAATGCTGTGGTTTGGAACGCTCCCTAAGCTAATAACAATGTAGTAAGCAATGGTATTTCCTGGGCTACAGTCGTCCTTCTTGCAGGTTTCAAAGAATTGATCTCCGGAAAGATCATTTATTGTATTCGCCTGTCAGTGCTGAAAGCACCACCTAGTGCACCCACACATCCTAGCGATTAACACCGCCCCCTCTCCAAACCGAGCTAAGACCGTCGACCATCCCAGCTTCGTGCAAACAGAAGGGTATCTAGCAACACGCTCCCAAATCCCAATTTAATCCATTTCAAATAGTGGTTGATGCGATTCTGCTACCTCGCACACCAGTACATATTTCAAAGTCGACTTCGCTACGATTTCCACTGCTGACCATCGCGCTTACGACCCAAGCCCAATGGTAAAGCACGACCTCGCGTTTACGTACTCATCAACACATATATCCCACTGCGAGCGCATCCCACGCCGCACAATTGTGCAACGAGTGTTTTCCAACCAGATCGAATTATAGGGCGCTCACAGGCCATGAGTAGGATGTCTGCAATACAGCGCGGAGAAAAACCTTTCTAGCTCTGTTCAGAAAACCGTTGCGCAGATGATGAAAGAACATGAAATTAGCGTCCTAGGATGCGTGAAGGAGTGTGCACTTGACCGAATCGTGCTAATGGATAACCTTTCCTCGTAAGTATAGTTATCAAGAACTTGTTCGAATTGGACTCCCTCTATGGCGGTCAAAAACTAATCTATTGAAAGAACAGATTTTCTAACATCTGACAACTTAGATTCTGATTCCATTTCTATGCTTCATGCTCCTCTCGAGGGTACCATTCAGGAGGCCCGTCGCGCGGCAAGAAGGCAGAGTCAGCGGACGAGTCGCAGCGCGTGATGTGCGATGTAGGACGTACAATGGGCATTCTATTTAACTTGACGCGAAATCACCACAGTACGCGCTGAACTCGTCCGCTGACCACTTCTTCTTGCCGCGCGACAGGGCCTCCTGTCGGTTACCCCTCCTCTCGCAGTGGCATTCCTCCTACGCCATCCAACCAATGACTTACGAATATTGACTGCTGGATAGCGAATAGATTCCCACAAGCATAACAAATCGCACAGCTTTCAGAACACTCCTACCTAATTATCTCGTCGATATCTCTTCTACTCTCTTTCAATTATTTTCTTGTAGACTTTTTTCCAATAAATTGATCATTCAACTGAATTCAACAGAACCCCAGTTCCTCAACGAATGTTTATTGAAGCACCAAACACCAACCACATAGCAGGTCACATTCATCGCACGATACAAGTGTGGACATCATCGATGCACAAAGTGCAGAAAAATCCACTCCTACACTAAGAATTTATAGTCGAAATACACTTCTACCGCTAATGGAATCTACAATTAAAATCCACTTATACCACTAGTGGAACAAGTTCTAGAGAACTTACTTTCTCTACCTTAAAGCAGTGGATGCCTCATTTTAATGTCGTCGGAAAGAAGAGTGAACACAATGGAATTAGTAAGAAAAATTACGAAATAATAAGACTAGAGCGACATGTAATCAAATCGATAATTCAAACTTGACATCAATCTGTGCAGCACGCGCCAAATGAACGATGTCGGATAATTTCACCACCATTTTAGCGGCCTAAAAATTAGAATATTTAGTCGCAGGAACCTTTCAACAATTATCACAAAACCGCTCAAGAAGGGGCGTTTTTTTAGAAAATGTGTAAATTAGAAGGGCACGTGCATGAAGCACAGAAATCGATCATATTCGTGGGGTCTCTAGGAATGCTACAAAGAAGGAATGGAAATAATTTGCGATTCGAGCCCTTTGATGGCGTACGGATTTCTCATGGAAAGCGCTAGACTTTCACTCCACTAATTTATAGTCATCCATCATGTATTTGTAAGCCATAAATGCAGCCCATGTTCCGACCAGACAGAATCCAAAATTCATTGCATAACTCTATGGCACTGGTTCATCCAAAATTCATTGCATAACTCTATGGCACTGGTTCATATGCTGCAAGGTTTGTTTCGCCAAATTTAAACAAATATTATTATATGCGGCGACATCCGGTCGGTTAATGCAT